GCTCTTGCAGAAGTCATGACCTGTTAGGAACCAGAGGAGATAGAAGAGCTTGCTCATTGCAAAAGGGGAAGCGGAGGAGCACTTGCAGAAGAGGCAAGGAGCTCCTTCACTTGCTACAAAGACACAGAGGAGCTTTCAGACGACGTATATTCAGAGATAGCGAAACTCGATCACGTAGAGATAGAGACTCTCTTAATAGAGACTAATGAGTTATGTCATGTCTCATTTATCGGACAGAGAATGGCCCAGGGCGACCTTCAAAACTCTTCATTGATAGAGAAGCTATTTCGGAAAACAAACATGGTGGAGAACTCTCTCATTCCTGCAATGTGATACAGGAGGTCTCTCGTGACCTCTTGTGAGATAGAGACCGGTTGCATCAGGGAAGTTTTCCCTGGAAACCCTTTGCTATTCCCTTACTTTGGTGCTGAAACCATCACGTTCTTGTTCCTTAATGCCCCAGTAAACCCTTGGAGAAAGAGGTGTTTTCAAGATGTGGTGGGGTATCTCATGTAGGAATGTACAATGGTTAGACACTAGCGCTCTTGCTTTCAAGAAGCAGTCTTGCAAGTAATGGCTCTGGGTTATGTCACGGGTTTGTTACGGTAATAGGCAGACTACACAAATACACCCTCCATTAAATTCCCGTAGCCCTATAAACCCTACACCCTGCACGCGAATCCTGAGCCCCCTAAGACTCCTATGCCCCCTACGATGAGATATAGTTCATGGGAGAGCTCTTATACCGTTTATGAATGCATTCTTCTATCTTTGAGATGAAAGAGCTCCTCTATCTTCTCATAGGAAATGAAAGAGATCCTGCATATGAAAAGAAAAGACCCTTCGAGAAAAGTTAAAGAATGGTAACGAATCCATGTCATCAATCTTTTCATGCGTAATGAGAGCGCTCCACACTCTTCATGGGACATGAAAGAGCTCCTCCATTTCTTTGAAATCAAAACCTTGCTTTCTCCCTGAGTGACAAAGATCTCTTGGAAATGAGAGATCTCTGCTACCACTTTCGAAAAAATGAGCTCCTATATCTCGGAGTCGGAAAGATAAAGATGTGAAAAGGAGCCCTCCCAAACCTACGAGGTGCCAGAGCACCCGCCCGCAGCTTTTCAAGCAGGAGAAAGGCTCTTTCGTAAGGGGCGGAGGAGCTCTGTCATTCCCTCAACCAGAGGGAGGGGAGCCCTCTCATGACCTATTCAAGAGAGAGGAGATAGAAGAGCTTGCTCATTGCTCTTTAGGATGCGGAGGAGCTTTTGCACAAGAGGCAAGGAGCTCTTTTTCTTCTACAAACGCATAGAAGAGCGTTTAGATGACCTGTTACGAAATAGAATAAATGCTGTCTCACGTAAGCGAGAGAGACTGATGAGTTATGCGACGCTCCATTTCAGGGATAGGCCTTCGAAACCTTCAATTAGGGTTGATCTCTCGCAAAAAGGTAAAAGAGCTATGTCATTTCCTACGAAGCGATAAGCAGCCTAGAGACAATCGGCTTCTCTCATGTTTGCTTCATGGATAGAGAAGCTTTTCTCAACCAAAACCAAAGAGACGGATCATGTCCCATTGAAAGATAGACGAGTTCTGTCTTTGTACGGTACGAGGTGGGGGAGCTCTTTCACAAGAGGTAGGTAGAGGACTCTCTCATGTCCGGCAAAGAGATAGAGACGATCTTTCATGACCCGCTACGAGATAGAGAGCCTCTTTCATGTAAAGGGTAAGATATAGAAGAGCTGTGAGCTCCTTTACCTATCGACGGGAACTCTTATAGCTTTCATGAATGAGTTCTTGCCAGTGAACAAAGGGAGCTCTTTCACAAAGGGTAGATAGAGACCTCTCTCATTTCCTGTAAAAGAAAGAGGAGGTCTCTCACGACCTGATTATTGCGAGATAGAGAAGCTATGTCATATAAAGATAAGAAATGGTAGAGCTGAGGACTCCTCTGCCTAGTGACGGGAAATCAGTTAGATAGGACATGAGAGAACTTTCATACATTTCTTATGAATGAGTTCTTCAATCTCTGAATAGAAAATGAATGAGCTCCTGTGTCTTCGCATACGAAATGACAGTGTGGAAATGAGCTGTCTCATGACCTGTTAGGAAACAGAGGAGATAAAGAGCTTGCTCATTGCAAAAGAGGAAGCGGAGGGCTCTTGCAGAAGAGGCAAGGAGCTCCTTCACTTGCTGCAAAGATACAGAGGAGCTTTCAGATGACCTATTCAGAGATAGCGAAACTCGATCACGTAAACGATAGAGATTGAAAAGTTATGTCATGCCCCATTTCAGGGATAGAGAATGGCCTTCCAGACTTTCATTTCGAATAAAGGAGAGATCTGTCACAGAAAGGTAGAAGAGCTATTCATTTCTTATTATATCACGGGTAGACAAGCTTTTTCTCAAATACAAACAAAAAACCTGGCTCATGCACCATTGAAAGATAGACGAGTTCTGTCACTCTCGATCACAAGGTGGAGGAGCTCTTTCACACGAGGTAGGTAGAGCACTCTCTCTTTTCTTGCAAAGAGATAGAGAAGATCTGTCATGACTCCATGAACCGTTACGAGATAGAGAAGCCTCTTTCATGTAAAGGATAGGTCATGGTAGAGCTGAGAGCTCCTCTGCCTAGTGATGGCAAACGAGAAATAGGAACCAAAGGAGATAGAAGAGGTTGCTCATTGCAAAATAGGAAGCGGAGGAGCTATTGCAGAAGAGGCAAGCAGCTCCTTCACTTGCTGCGCAGACACAAAGGAGCTTTCAGATGACCTGTTCAGAGATAGCGAAACTCTCTCACGTAAACGATAGAGACTGATGAGTTGTGTCCCCATTCAAGGGATAGAGAATGGCCTTCCAAACTTTCATTTCGGGTAAAGAAGAGATCTGTCGCAAAAAGGTAGAAGAGCTATGTCATTTCTTATGCATCGATAAACGGCTACTCGCATGATTTCTTCATCGATAGAGAAGCAGCTATTTCTGAATAGAAATTCACAATGGAGCTGTCTCATGTCCTAGTGAAAGATAGACGAGTTGTGGCATTTGATTTTGAGGTGAAGGAGCTCTTTCACAAGAGGTAGGTAGAGGACTCTCTAATGTTCTGCAAAGAGATAGAGGCAATCTTTCTTGACCCGCTACGAGATAGAGGAGCCTCTTCCATGTAAAGGGTAGGATGTGGTAGAGCTGTGAGCTCCTCTACCTATCGATGGGAAATTAACAAGAAAGTACATTCGAGAGCTCTTACAGCTTCTATGAATGAGTTCTTGTGATTGAACAAAGGGAGCTCTTTCACAAAAGGTAGATAGAGACCTCTCTCATTTCCTGCAAAAGAAAGAGGAGGTCTCTCATGACCTATTGCGAGATAGAGAAGCTATGTCATATAAAAGATACGAAATGGTAGAGCTGAGCGCTGGTGACGGCAAATGAACTAGGTAGGACATGAGAGAGCTCTTATACATTGTATGAAAGATTTCTTATATCTATATCTCTTGTGAACGAGTTCTTCAATCTCTGACTAGGAGATGAATGAGCTCCTGTATCTTCTCATACGAAATGACAGAATGGATATAAATGATGTCCTCTAGCTGTTAACGCAACATGAAAAAACCTCCTCTATCCCCTAAAAGAGAAGGAGAGAGGGAAGCCCGCTCATGACCTATTAGGAACCAGAGGAGATAAAAGAGCTTGCTCATTGCAAAATAGGAAGCGGAGGGCTCTTGCAGAAGAGGCAAGGAGCTCCTTCACTTGCTGCAAAGATACAGAGGAGCTTTCAGATGACCTATTCAGAGATAGCGAAACTCTATCACGTAAACGATAGCGAGTGATGCGTTATGTCATGTCCCATTTGATGGACAGAGAATGGCCCAGAGTGGCCTTCAAAACTCTTCATTGATAGAGAAGCTGCGAAGCTATTTCTGAAAATCGACATAGAAGAGAACTCTCTCATTTCCTGCAGCGTGGAAAAGGAGGTCTCTCATGACCTATTGCGAGATAGAGAAATTTCAGGTAAGAGTTAGGTAATGGTAGAGCTGGGCACGCCTCTGCCTCTTGACGAGAAATGAGCTCGTGTATACTTCATGAATGCGTTCTTCTATCTCTCAGATGAAAGAGCTCCTCGATCCTTCTTATAGGGCATGAAAGAAATCCTGTGTTCGAACTGAAAAGACCCTTTGATAAGCAAAAGAAAAAGGGAAACGAATCGATGCCTTCTATCTTTTAGTGCAGAGCTTCTCACTTCTAACGACATGATAGAGCTCCTCTATTTTCTTGGAAATGAAACAGCTTGCGTTCTCTCCTGAGTGAAAGATGTCTCTGTCGTGGAAATGAGATCTCCTCTATGTTTCTAAGAAATGAGATAGCTCACCTCTACCTCGTAATCGGAAATGAGAGAGCCCTTCGCCCCTCTTCAGGCTATGAAACAACTTGTCTATCTCTTACTTCAAAGTGTGCTAGAGCTACATGGCTGCACTTGCTGGCGCCGGTGCACACACAGACCAAACCTTCACTATTACTGTTACTACTACTAATACTATTACTAGTATTATTACTATTCCTATTCCTATTACTATTACTAGTACTATTATTATTCCTATTACAATTACGGTCAGTATTATTATGCTCATAATAATATTAAAATTATTATTATTATTGCACTACTACTGAAAGAAGAACCAGCCGTGAAATAGACCCTAAAGGTCTCGGCCACATATATATATATATGTGTCTAAGTCAGCTGGGCACTGACTGACATCCACACAGGTGTTTGCAGCTTGTGCTACCGGGACTTCAAGAAATGTCAGCTTTCGAACTTTCAAACTTCAGCTTCCTTTCTTATAAGGCTGGGCGGACTCATACGAGCTATAACTACGCACAGAACCTGAATTTGCCTGACTCTGCAAATCGAAGCGCCCGCGAAGTTTCGTAGCAGCTAAGGACTACAGCTCAGGGATTCGGAACGCTACAACTCTTCCGCGCCCTCACCGCCCCAACCCCCCCTCTCCGGCCTATCAGGCCCAGAGACGATGCGCCCCTGAGAGCACCAGATTTCGCAGTTGGGCGGGGTTTTTACTCTTGGAACGAATTTCTGTCGGGACAATAGGCCAAAGGCCAAGCTTTGGCCGGTGCAGGGGTCCTGGTCTCGGGCACGAGCTTGCTCTATGCTACTGCATCCTCTTCCCTAACCCCGAGCCCTCAACCTACCCCAAGCTCCTAAACAAGGAGCCAGAATCTTGCAAACAGTCTCAAACCGATGGATGGGGAAGAAGTAGTGGACATGAATGAGCGGCACCAGTTATGTGTTTCTACATATGACATACATCCATTTTTCAAACGAATACATATCTGAATACATATATATATGTATATATAGACAGAGATATGCGTGTGTGTGTCTGTGTGTGTGTGTGCGCGTGCATCTCTGTGTGTGTGTGTGTGCGCATGTTTACCTATATGTTTAAGTAGGGATCTTGAACAGATGCAGGGCTTTGGGGATCGAAGATGTTCCCCCTTTATCCTCACAGTCCTTAATCAGGATTATATTGGGGGTACTACTCAGGACTGTTAGTAATAGTATAGGGGGGAGCATCCCAACATTTAAGGCTGCACAGCATGGCAGAAACACGGACAGGACGCTCCTTGAGTAGCTTGATGGGGTCTATGAAAGCAGGCCTAACCTCCCCCCCCCCCCCCCAAAAAAAAAAAAACAGATAAACAGAAACATAGGACGTCACCCTGACCAGCAAGGCTACACGTACTTGTTTATACGTATACATATGTACACATTTCAACACATTTAACAAATGAACTAAACAAATGCATGAATTTGTTTCCATATATATATATACATACATACATCATATTACATTGAATGATATTGCATTGTACTTTACATATGTATATAAGTATTATTTGGGTAGTTATGTATTCATGTTTATATGTGATATTCTGTATATATGTATATACACCCTGCCTCCACCCCACCCCTGCCATGGCAACTTTGACTTAAGCCTAGGTTCCCCCGGAGCTCGGAGATCTTCTTGGCGGCCGCCTGGGCCTTCGTTCAATCATTTGGGGTTCCGGGTTTCGGGTTTTGAGGTTTAGGGTTCGGCTTCGGGTTCAGGGGCCACTTCGAGGTCGCTGAGACTCGAAAGGCTTGAGTTGAATTCAGCCTCAGGGGGAATGGAATGCATGTCATGGACTTGCAGGGTGTATGCCAGGGGCTGAGCAGGCTTTGGGCTCACGATATTGAGATTAGGTGTTAGGACTGAGGGCTTATGGGGCATGTGCTCCGCAAGACCATCCGTGCATGCTAACCTGGTGTTTTCTCCATGGCTTTGGAAAGGAATGCCAAGGCTTGGAAGGGTCTTCGTTCGTAGCTCTATAACACGTTTTCTCCAGCTCTGGCTTGACGCAGTGCCAAGCCATCGTGGCATTCCATAAATGAAAGGTTGCGACTCACGCGCCGATTCACGGTAGTCGTAAGTTTGTCTTGTTCGCCGCACCCCCCCCCCACCCACCCCCGCACCCCTCCCCCCATACCCCCCCACCCCCCATACCCCCCTCTCCCTTACCCCTAAATGTCGCAAGCCACTCTCCAGGGACCCTAGGGTGAAACCCAACGCTCGGTCAACACGTGCGCCTTTCTCCTCGATGCGCGGAAGTCTTTGTGCCTTGGAAGACAGGGCGAACTGCCAACCCTAAACCCTTAACCCCTACACCCCCAAACCCCTAAACTAATCCCTAAACCCTTAAACCCTATAAACCCTAAACCCCTAACCCCTAAACCCCTACACCCTACCCTGAAGCATCAACCCTGGATCTCGAAGACCCAGTGCGTGCTGCAAGCAGAAACTCCATGAAAACATCAAATGGCTGATCCATCTACAACACAAGAACCTTGAATCCCAAATTGGGATGCACTCTATGGAGAGTCTCTTCTGCCATGTCCCAAACACCAGAGCACAAAAGGAACACTGGCACCCCTGCAGCACGTGCCTTCGGCCAAAGTCCTTCTCAACTAGCCTTCAACAGCCAAAAGCCGCAGACCAAGGTGCTGATAGATGGAATCCCAGGAATTTGTGCTGCTGACGGCAGCGCCAGCGTTCTTGTCTGGCATTGGAGTCACAGGGACCTCCTGCAGGCAGAACGCCGATGCAACTATCGACTTCGCCGCGAAGTCGGCTTTCAGGGCTTGCTCAAAGAGGCACTAAATTGGCAGATTGCAGCCCTCCTGTCGTCTTGAGCTCAAGTGTTCCATTCATTCGACCAGAAAACGAAATCCGCAGCGACATGCCACGTTTGTAGCTTCTGGTTCCTCTTATTGGGTCGCTATCTGAGCTGTCGGGCACCTTAAGAAGGCCATGTATACATACATGTATATATACGTATATATATATATATATGGTCACCCCCCCCCCCATGATCCACACCTGTGGTTTTCCTGTCTTCGTCTTTGTCTGATTTTCGGCTTTTTCCTCGGAAAAATGCAGCAAAAACTGTACTGGAACACAAAAGGCTCTGCTATATTGTCCCCTATAAAAACACTAGTGTTTTTATGTGCATTTTGCTTCTGAAACGTGTGTCTTGCGGCTCCATAAAATTTTAGAAGGGCAGCGATTTAGAATTTTGAGGCTTTTCAGGGTTTAGGGGTTTTTTAGAATTTAGATGATCTGCGGAAGGCACCGGGGCTCCCCCAGACCATTTCAAATTTTAAAAACCCTTAAAATCCTTAATTGTTTTTGATTGGGCAGCCCCTTTAAAATTAAGGGCTTTAAGGTATTTAAAGCCATTCAAAACTTTCAGGGTTTAAAAGGCTTTAAAGTCCTTAAGAACCTGAAAACGTTTATCCCTTAAAATTCTAAAACTCCTTATTTTTTGAAGGGCAGCCGTTCAAAATTAAGGAAGTTACGGATTTTAGAATTGAACATCCTACAATCCTGTCCGGTTAAAGGATTTGTAAAAATTTACATGGTCTGGGGAAGGCACCGGGTTCTCCAGACCATTGACAACTAACTTTAAAAAACCTTAAAATACTAAAAGGGCAGCCACATAAATGTGTAAGCATTTTAAGGTTTCTAAAAGGCTTTAAAACCTGTAAAATCCTGAGAATGTTTAAACAGAATTTCAAGGATTTTGATAAGATCTTAAGATGGTCTGGGGAAGCCCCGGTGCCTTCCCCAGATCATTTGAATTTGTAAAAATCCTTGAAACCCTTAACCCTAAAAACCAAACCCGAAACCCTTAACACTAAACCCTAAACACTCAGCACCAGACCTTAAACACTAACCCTAAAAACTTAACACTAAGAGCCCTTAGCACAAACCCCAAGCACTTAACACGAAACAATGTTAAAAGGGCAGCCGTTCAAAATTAAGGAAGTTCTGGATTTTGGAAGTGAATATCCTACAATCCTGTCCTGTTAAAGGATTTGTAAAAATGTACATGGTCTGGGTTTCGGCACCGGGTTCTCCAGACCATTGACAACTAACTTAAAAAAGCCTTAAAACCCTAAAAGGGCAGCCACATAAATGTGTAAGCATTTTAAGGTTTTGAGAAGGCTTTACAACCTGTAAAATCCTGAGAATGTTTAAACAGAATTTCAAGGATTTTGATAAGATTTTAAGGGTTCTAAAAGTTCAGATGGTCTAGGGAAGCCCCGGAGACCATTTAAATTCTAAAGGTTTTTGAAAAATGGTCTGGGAACCCCGGTGCCTTCCCCAGATCATTTGAATTTGAAAATCCTTGAGACCCGTAACCCAAAAAACCAAACCCGAAACCCTTAACACTAAACCCTAAACACTCAGCACCAGACCCTAAACACTAACCCTAAACACTTAACTCTAAGAGCCCTTAGCACAAACCCCAAGCACTTAACACGAAACCCTAAACGCTCAAGCACTAAACCCTAAGCACTAGGCCCTAAAAACTTAAACACTACACCCTAAAAACTAAACCCTAAACATTACACACTAAACCCTACACACTAAACCCTGAACACTAAACCCTAAACCCTAAACGGCATGACTTTTAAAGTTGTCAATGGTCTGGGGAAGCCCGGTGCCTTCCCCAGATCATTTGAATTTGTAAAAATCCTTAAAACCCTTGAAACCCTGAACCCTAAAAACCAAACCCGAAACCCTTAGCACTAAACCCTAAACACTCAGCACTACACCCTAAACACTAACCCTAAAAAGTTAACACTAAGCCCTTAGCACAAACCCCAAACACTTAACACGTAAACCTAAACGCTTAAGCACTAAACCCTAAACACTTAAACACTGCACCCTAAACACTGGACCTTTGGGTTTTAGAGTTTAGGGCTTTATTTGGTTTAGGGTTTTAGCCAAGTCGCTTGACCCTAAACCCTAAACCTAAACTCTAGACCCTAAACTTCACACTCAACCCTAAACACAAAACACTAAACTCTGAAACCTACACCCTAGACCCTAAACACTGAACACTAAACCCTGCACCCGAAACAACACATCCTGAACCCTAAACCAACCCCAAGCCAAAAAGACATGGGGTTGCAGTCCTTTAGGGGTTTTAAATCTTCATCATTATAAGGTTTAGGGTTTTAGACATTATCCAAGTCGCTTAAACCTAAACCCTAAAAAGTAAACCCTAAACCTTTAAAACCAAAACCTAAACACTAGACCCTAAACACTAAACACTGAACCCTAAACACTAAACCCTACAAACCCTAAACAATAAACACTAAACCGCAATCCCTAAACGTGCATGTGGAGAACATGGGCCCCGGACTCCATATGCACCCGGGCCCCGGACTCCAGACTCCAGATTTCCAAAAAAATCTGGAGTACCTGGGCCCCGAACTCCAGACTCCAGATTTCCAGAAAAAATCTGGAGTACCGCGGCCCCGGACTCCAGACTCCAGATTTCCAGAAAAAATCTGGAGTACCGGGGCCCCGGACTCCAGACTCCAGATTTCCAGAAAAAATCTGGAGTACCCGGGCCCCGGACTCCAGACTCCAGATTTCCAGAAAAAATCTGGAGTACCCGGCCCCGGACTCCAGACTCCAGATTTCCAGAAAAAATCTGGAGTACCGGGGCCCCGGACTCCAGACTCCAGATTTCCAGAAAAAATCTGGAGTACCGGGGCCCCGGACTCCAGACTCCAGATTTCCAGAAAAAATCTGGAGTACCCGGGGTTCTAGACTCCAGATTACAGACTCCAGAATCTGGAGTCCAGGGTCCCGGTACTCCAGATTTTTTCTGGAAATCTGGAGTCTGGAGTCTGGAGGTACTCCAGGATTTTTCTGGAAATCTGGAGTCTGGAGTCTGGAGGTACTCCAGATTTTTTCTGGAAATCTGGAGTCTGGAGTCTGGGGGTACTCCAGATTTTTTCTGGAAATCTGGAGTCTGGAGTCCCGCCCCTCCCAAAAGCAGCCTTCCCGAGGCCAAATGTGTGGATCATGGGGGGGGGGGCGAGCATATATATATATATATATATATATATTGTATATGAGTGTGTACATGTGCAAGTACGCACGTATGTACAGATGGAAATTTTTACACATGTACTTACACATCTTAAATAAATAAATAAATAAATATATATATATATATATATATATAGCAGAAAGTAATCAATTAAACAAAGCCTCAACAAATAAGCACATAAATATATATGTACATACACATATACACACCTCGGAGGGCTTGGGGGTGCTCGCAAACAATTTTGACACTTGCACAACTTCATGGCCCCTCAAATGCCTGAAAACGCAATTCCACAAGGCACTGCACAATTCCCCAAGGACTAGCTGCGGGCTGACATGCATCCATGGTGTTTGTTGTCTGCATTTTTCCCAAGTGCCAACGAGTTCTGGAGCCCTGACAACTTTTGCAGGCAAGGGACTGACGCGTACTTCATCCTCACGGCACGTTGATAGCACTGGACGACTTGAGCAGTGAATGGTACTCATTGCGCGCTAGACTTGCTCTGACAAAAGGCGTAGGTGGTGCTGGGGACATGAATTTCAACCCTTACGGGCTCGTTGCCGAGCTTCTCAAGTTCTTGTGAAGTAACTAAGTACATGCAGATACACATCAGATATCTTAAGGCCAGGGTGCCCAAACATGACAATTCAATGAGGTGTCCTCTCAACGCTCTTCAGAACTCCTGATATCTTCATCGGCCCAACAATAACATAGGACGAGAGTTTCTTTTAGCTTCGACTGCAACGCTTCCTACACCCATGGATGTCTAGGGTGGCATCATCTAAGGGTGAGTCTTGCGGGGCCATTGTCCCCAACTCAAAGCTTGCCCAAAACGCTACAATCATCAACGCCGCACGCGCGAACCTCGAAGCGAAGAATCAAAATCCTTCAGGGTCCCTGAACCGACTGCTCGGCCATCTGCGCGCTCTGTCGCATCCCTAAACTTTGTAAACCCTAAACCCTAAACCCGAAGCCCTAAGCCCCAAGCCCCAAACCCCAAACCCTAAACCCCAAACCCTAAACCCTAAACCCTAAACCCTCAAACCTAAACTAAGCCCTAAACCCGAATCAGACTGGCCTTCGACCCAAGCAGTTCAAGGCTTAGGTTTTGAAGGCACTGCACTCGCGCGCACGCAGCCGAGGCGCCCCAAAGGCAGGGACTGGACGCCCAAGGAGTCTGCCGAGTGCCCGGATATGACCTGGGCTCGGGGGTGGGACATCTAGGGTTTGGGGTTTAGGGTGTGGGGTTTGGGGTTTGGGGTTTAGGGTTTAGGGTTTGGGGTTTCGGGTTTGGGGTGTAGGCTTGCATAATGGGGCCTCGAGGTGGAGGTTTGTTTGTGGACCTCCAACCTCGATGCTGACCGCTTCAATTCGGGCACTCACGTTAAACCCAAGGAAGCAGCCCGAACATGAAGGAAACCTGGTGTGCCACTGTGCGAAGTCCGAGTGCAACCACCTCGATATCTACCGCCCAAATCTTCGGACCACGAATGCGCAGCGCAGGGCCCAAAACCCTTCAAGCCTGGCATCGCGCCCAGCGGCCTTCGACAGCTTACTGGGACTGCCAGCGTCTACGTCTGTCCTGGCGTTGCCGGGCCCAAGGCGAAGCCACTCAATGGTATATGGGCGGGTTCTCTGAATGATGGTATGTTACGGAGCCTATACGTTCGCCCAGAGCCCAGCATCCCTAAACGCGACAAGCCCGGCATTCACTGAAAGTAAAAGAACTGCACTGGGTTGGGACTATGGGCTTCCGCTTCAGAGCATTCAGGAACTTGGGTTTCAGAGGATCAAGAGAACAATCCTCTTCCGCCATGCCATGCCTCGTATAGCCAGCTTAAGAAGAATTCTAAAGGGATGCTGAATTGCATGGTTCAAAGCGGGCGTTGCTTCAAGAAAGACTTATGACATATGAGACCCTAAGCCCTGAACCCTAAACCCTATAAACCCTAAACCCTTTAGGATTTGTCAGGGGCCTTATGTGTAGGGCCACGCCTCACGTGCCGCATGGCCGCGCCACCCCGATGATGCAATCCCAGGGGGCTCTTCAACGCCAACTCCTCTTGGAGGGTCTCCTGGGACGTTTAGGGTTTAGGGTTTAGGGTTCAGGGATTAGGGTAGCGTGGCCTGTTTTCTGGGTGTCTCAACCCTTCGCCTGGTACATTCGAACTGGTTCTGGCGGCAATGTGTTCTTTGTCGCGTTGCTACATTTGCGCGCTGATGAAGGGGGGCTAAGAACAGGGAAGACGGTTGAGAGGGTCTGCGCCAAAGTGGCGAAGTCTCCGTCAACTAGTCACTAGTCAGCGCAGAGGACTTCTGCAGGTTGCAATGCCACCCCCCGAACCCATGTCCCTGCACTCTTCTTAATCTCCGGGATTTTTGTGGAATGTAAACGAACCCCAAGCAAAGGACAGGCTTTGCTTTCTTGATTTCCCCCGCGACCCACGGGTTGCTGCGACCAGAGGCTCCCTTTCACCTATCGGTGAACGTTCAGTACAAGTTATGGGTCTCAATGGCCCCGAAGATTAACTTTGAGGACATGTCCACACGCTGCGCCAGATGCACTGCAGCTCCTTCAGTGTCGCCATCATCTGCGTGCTCATCGCTTCAAATAGCTCGTTCTGCTTGGCGAACTCAATCTGACACAGGCTCGGATTCGCAAAGAGTGGTGCTTTCTTTCGGGAAATGTGAGGAACACTTGGAACTCGAACCTACTAAACTTAGAAGCCCCAGCGTGAGATGAGGGGTTGAGGTTCAGAATACGAGTGGTGACCTTGCACCTTGAGGCCTTTAAGCCCTAACCGCTAAACAGCTGAGTTGGTGGTGGGGACCTCGAACAGGCGCGACCACTATGCTATGACTTCTTTTTTTGGGGAGGGGAGGGGGCGGTGCTCTACAAGGGGACCATTTGGGCGCTGCATCCCCCTGCCTGGAGAAGCCGGTGCCAACTGGGCCTGGGATAGACTTCGCTTACATTCTCACAGTCTGGGTTTAAGCCTCCAAGGACCAGCCATGGAATTAAGTCAGACTGCTCTAGGGAGCCTGCTGAAGCCTGTAGTACGCCAGCAAGCAAATCCAGCATTGTGTGAGTGCCAATGAGCATGGTATCGACTTGGCTGATCTACAAGAAGGGGAGCAGAATAAAGCCTTTAGTGATGAGCTCACCGAATCCGACTCCGATTGGGCTGCGTCTAAACGGGACATGCTTCAGATGATGCAGCAGTGCAAGGGCAATCACCTGAGCATCCCAGCCTCGCAAACAGACCTTCACCAGACTCTCCCATACTGTCTTGATCATCCAGTATCTCTGGAAACTCTTGATCCATGGCGGCTCGGGGCGTCGGCTCAATGGCCTGTGTGCTTGCAACCCGGGATCAAAGCCCAAACCCAGGGAAGTTATTTACGTGTGATGCTCTACGCACTCCACGCCAGCACGCGCGTCGTTTTTGTTTTCGCTGCGTAGGTGTGCAGATAGCAGTGCCATACATCGAACATCTGCGAGATTTGAGCCAATGCTGAGGCGTGGTCTTGGGTTCAGGGGTCTAGGCCCTTTAGGGTTGAACTTGGAGCACGCCTTGCTACTTTTCTGTTCATCTGCAGGCTTCATATTGCTCACATCTTGGCTGACCAGGAACACCTTCTTCTCTGATTCAAGTCAAAGGCGCACAATCCTAAAAAAGGAAACGCTCTTCCCGAAAGTATCCCCCAGTCCATCGGCTAAGAGTCCTATGCTGAATACGCACATCATACATGTATTAAACACAATGTTTGTAAAACAAGATGTAAACAGACAAGCATCTGAATAAATACTAGTGAATACACACACACACACACACATATATATATATATATATATATATGTGCATCATGTACAGTACATAATCGATCATAATATGCAACAGTACATGTACATGCCAACTGCCACACGACATTTGATTCGGCTGAGCACTGGTGGGTCGGCTGCCTGCAATTCTCGGCTTCAACGGCGGTCTCCCAATGATTACCGGACTAGAAGGCACGAACCCTAAACCCTAAACCCTAGAAAGAGGTTTAGGGTCGAGAGTGTAGGGCTTAGGGTGTAGGGTGTAGGGTTGGAACGCGCGCCATGAAAGCTGAACTCAGCGAGAGGATACAAACGTGGTCTCCGCAAGAAGAGGCTGGTTCAGTCATGGCTCTCGCCGTCCCTAGCTGCATGATATGGTCAAGACTTGGTGATCACTTCCTGATGGCGCAGTCTCCCTGAACCACGCAAAGCCTACATATGGCCCTTCTTGCAGGTTGCCATAATAAGGACTCTGTCTGTTATTTTTGGACATACCTGGGCATCCCCTGCTCATTTTGGGACACATATGCCACTACTACGAATATGGCAAGCCGCTTGAACCGTCAAACTTAACCCAAGCAAGCCGCCCGCAATCCACTTCATGAGTACGAGAGAATCTTGGCCATCCGGCTGGGGCACTTTCAAAGGACCAACGAATATTAACATTGCGAAGTTCATTACTGCCCAAGATCTCGGCCGATTGGAACAACACTCAGTACACATGCAATACGACAAGATGACAAGAACCGCAGCCAGGCACCTCTTCACCTGCCACTAAACATGTGGGATTCTGTGGCCTTTTGGCCACAGGGGCTTCGGAAAAGTCACCTCTTCAGCCTCGGGTCGCTGGGGGCCAAGCACATCGTGGAACGTCTGTGCTTCGATGCTATTCACACACCCTGAGCTGACCAGAGAAAGGGTATGCAGGGTAGTAGCGTGTTTAAGTTCAACTTCAGGGTTCAGGCGCAAGAATCAAAGAAAAAGCGATGTTTCCAAACGGTTCTCCAGCAATCTTCGTGGGGTGACCGAATGTGACGGACCTTCAGCATGGTAAAAGGTGCGACATGCCAGGCACACCCCATGGGACGATCCTCGAGGCTGGCTTGCGCAATCTGCCAAACCACAGATCCATGACCAACGCTCCCAGTTTATTCATGGGATGCCGGATGAGGTGCTGCCATGCCAACCCGAGAAAGGGCACAGTCAGAATAAGGTAAGCGAAAGCATTCGAGCTGCGTCTAGCTGGGGTCTGGAGGCCAGCGGCATCACCTGTTCGAACAATTCACAAGCGTCCTGAGATCACACCAGCACTCTCGACCTTTGAAGGTTGATGTCGATCGCCACGTATGAGACCGTCTGGCTGTAGAAAGCCTACTTCAGATCCCTCAAGGGGAAACGGTAGCGGCGAGACAACGAAGCTGCGATTAGGCCGCGCTGGGCTATGACCTCTCCAAAGCCCTGCTCCCCCGTAAATACACGCAAAGATGAATCGTCAACCTCGGAGAGTCCTGGCGGAACTCATGGGACAAAGCCAACTGCATGCATGAACCCTTGTGGTGCCACCTCTGAGACTGGGCCACCTAAAGGCTCTCATAATCAGTGCCCAAGCGATGACGATCACAGTTGAGCAGTAGTGTCTTCATATTGCAAACTTCTCTTTCTACAGGTGTCACTTCAGGTCCATCGGCATGCTGCCCTATGCCTTGGGCAATGGGTCGGAAGACTGGCTCAACTCAAGTCCAGAGGACGGAGGATGCAGGATGAAGATTTGAAGCAAAGCGCACCTGGGAATACCAGCGAACCAGAAGATTCCCCCTCCAAACTTGAGGTTCCTTCGATCACTAAACTCGGACTGCCCCGCCAAACTCTGACATCATGGCTGGAATCTCTCGAAGTCGGGCCACACCTTACGTCAGGAACGCAGGAACACACACGTGAGAAGCACCACCGAGCTGCTGAGGCTCCTGTATTTTGTGGAAACAGCTGCTTGGTACCTGTTCCAGGCTGTGGAAGCAGCTGTGCGCAGGCTACACTAGTCTATCAAAACTGTGCAAAGCCAAGATGGGCTCTGAGGAGCCATTATGGTTCACCCGCCCCTAAACCCTAAACCCTAAACCCTAAACCCTAAATCCTAAACCCTAAGACCTGAGCCCTGAGCCCTGAAGTGTGAACCCTAGCTTCCAAATTGCTGTTTCGCCGCCTTTCCAACCAAGCGCGCAACAACAAAGAACATCTGTTTGTCACTTCAGGGTTTAGGGTTTAGGGTTTAGGGTTTAGGGTTTAGGGTTTAGGGTTTCTAGCCCAAAGATAAAGGGTCTCCAATAGCTAGTATTCTAGATCATCGGACGGGTTTAGGCGGCGCTTCCATAGGGCTAGGTACCCGATGTCATCCCTCCCCTGGATGGACCCTTTCCTGCGAACCCAAAATGCTGGAGCACACTTCAAGCTTCAAACCTTCCAACACCTACTTAACCCTAAACTCTAAACCCTAAACCCTAAACCCTAAACCCTAAACCCTAAAACATAAACCCTAAACCCTAAACCCTAAACGCCAGCTCCGCCACTGCCAATGTTCTGCGCTTCGAGGGTCTTGTTCAGCTTGCGCCTTGGTTGTTCACAAGGGACGGGTTTAGGGTTTAGGGTTTAGGGTTTAGGGTTTAGGGTTTCGGGTTTCGGGTTTCGGGTTTAGGGTGTAGGCCTTACTATACTGAACCTGGAGCCCTAGCAACAATCATAATCTCAGCTGATTCTGAGGAACTAGAGTACCCAGAATAGAAACAGATTCCAAAGCATCTCTAAGCTTAGGGGTGGGACTATGAGCAGCCCACCTAGACATCCGTGCGTTTATGGCGAGTTAGGGTTTGGGATTCTTGCTTTGCATTTACAGATTCCTTTACAGTGGCTCCGGTGGAGAGCGCTTTAACTGCAACTGAAAACGTCAGCCAGTCTCCGATCATGCACATGAAGACCCCCACGCTTGAGCCCGTGTGCACAAACACAGCCTGTTGTAATTCTGAGATTATGAAGGGAGACTGCGCTGAGCCGATGGTTCGATGCCCACCAATCCTCACACCCTTCCGCGTAGACTCAAACACTGTGACGCGCAACATGGGGCCTCCTCCAAAGCAAAAAACGCAGAGCTTCTCAAACGGGGCATCGGTTACTCCGCAAGTGCCTTTCGCAGGAGGGTGCTGTTTAAAGACCCCATTGCTTGAATGTGTGGATGTACTACTGGTGGTGATTTTGGCCACTACTTAACCCTAAACCCTAAACCCCATTTATATGGATGTGCACTCACGAACACATTCGACCATCGTGCGTGGCTGTATCTTGCGCGTTGTATCCCATAGCCTCATGCGTTGACCCAGGCCCGGTTTTGAATGCCTACACAGGGTTTAGGGTTTAGGGCAGTTTAGGGTTTAGGGGTCCCTAAGAACAACTTTGAAGCACCCGAAGTCGTATGGGTCATGATGGGCTTTTGCCCATGTCCAACGCGACAGCGTCTTCTCGTTGCTTTCGAGGGCGCATATCGTCCCGCAGGGCTTTGATCTCTTTGCGTATGATGGTGCTCTCATAGCCCATCCTTGCCTTGGAACCACTGGCATGTGTGTGTGTGTGTGTGTGTCGGGATTCAACTTTCTGTCCCTCTACTGCACCATAATGCACAGCTGCTGCCAGTCAGCTCCTAGCTATGTTTTTCTTGAAAACTAGCCCACAAGGATCGTCTGCTTCTTCATTATGTCCCCCCCCCCCCCCCCCCCTCACACCCCCGCTCCCCTCCGAAGCTCAAAGTCCAAAAAGGCCGCGGAACAACTTGGAGGCCTTTCGCTGGACCAGCCAGGTTCATACAGCCGTACCTGAGATGCGAAGGCTTCAGTGATTATGGATTGGGCCTGGGATGGCTTTAGAATGCTTGCAGGTCAATAGTTGTCTTGCTCTAACCTCTGCTCCATGTTTCCCGCCCAACCACAAGGCATCCCACAAATCGTGCGCAGTGTGACATTTACATAACTCTGGGGTCTCAAAAGTCTTTGGTGATCATGCAACAGGAGCTGACTTGGGCGCTTGGATGTACCAAGCGCGCAAGCTCCGGTGGTGTTCTGAGCTTACAGCTGTTGGCAGACGATGGGGCCACAAGATGTGTTGACCTAAGGACTATACTCCCCTTAGAGCCTTAATAAAGGTTGTATTTTAAATGTCCTCTTGGGTTTTATATGAACAAAAATAAAAAACAATTCCCAAGGGGGATATAGAGGAATGACCAAAGTGCCTCCCTTGTTTGGGGATTGCAGGCCACCGTTACAGGATCCTCTGGAGCAGGGGTTTGCAACTGCATAAGACCCAGCATCCTTCGTGGGCTTTCCCCCTTACGGGCTGCAAAAAAGTCTCAAAAGTGCCACCACGATCCTTTTCTCAATGAAGTACGCTTGCAAGTTTACAACCATGAGATGATGTATATATTTGGTTCAGTCCGATTTCGGTGGCTGCAGATTTTGGGGGGTTTAGGCTGGGGAGATCGGAACGGTGTGATGCCGTGGTGGTCCATGGCTCATGGGCAAACAAGAAGAGTGCACCATTCCGGACACTGATGGCTTGCGATCCTAAACCTCACGCCACTCAACCAAAACCAACTTGGCAGATTAAACGTCCGGTCATAG